GGACTTTTTTTTGGAAAGTGGCCACTGTGAAAGCTTGCTTGTTGGGTTGTTTTTTTTTTTGGTTGTTGTTTGTTTTTTTTTTCTCTCCCCACCTCCCAGGCTCTTGATTTGAACAGGCTTCCCTTTCCCAAGGTGCATACAAGAAAAGGACACCGGGGTTTATAATGTGAACTGTTAACAGTCTACTGGGTTATTTTGTAAATTTTTTTTTTTTTAAACTGCAGTTTTAACTTGCAGGATGCCACATTCTCTTATAGTTCTGATTTTAAATCCACAGTTAGAATCTGTATTTAATTTCATCTTTTTTTAACCTCTTGCTTTTTTTGATCTCTATTTATTGATGCGTGTCGCCACATCGCCATTATGTTTTTACGTCGGTAGAATATTAATAAAATACACATCCGAGTGCTCTCTGACAGTAATTTGTACCTGCTGACTTGTAGGAAAAAGCTGGCTTATATATGAGTGTGTGTGTATGTATATTATATAAATATATACATGTATACATAGATACGATACTGCTTTTTTTTTTTTTTTGTCTACGATCTTGAAATGGTCTGACTGAAGCGTGAGGCGAATGCTTGTTCTAGTCCACCTGTCCAGGGCCCAGGTTTCCTCCTTGCGACAGCGCACGGTGCGACCGCCCGCGTCTCTCTTCCTGAGGTCAAAGCACTGTTCCTCGGGGAAAGGGTCAGATGAGCGGTTGGACGCAGCTGCAGCTTAGAAATGAGATTTTTTTCGGAGGCCCAATCTTGTCATAGGCCTGTGGTTTGGTGTCCGCTCTGGCCTTATCTCCGTCTTCAGAGAAGCTGTCGCCTTTGGTGCTTCCCGAGCCGTCGTTCAACCCACGGAGCAGCTCTTTAAGGCGAGCGGTTGCTTTTTGGCGGTGGCTGCCATGGGGGGCAGCAGGGGTTTTGCTCACGAGCCCGACGCTTTTCCTCTTGTCCCTTTTATGCTGTTGATGTGGGATTCTTTCTTTTTTTTTTTTTGGAAAACTCTTATCAGCCCCCAAAGCTGATAAAAGCCTTGCCCTCTCCCTCCTGCCTGACACTAAGGAGGTTTTCAGGGGAGGCAGGAGGTGTTTTAAGAGGTGAGTGACCACCTACCGTGAAACCAGTAAACCCTCACGTTATGCCCCTCAGCGATTCGCTGTCAGGCACACCAAAAAAAAAATCAAAAAAGGGGGCGGGGGGGAGCTTTTAAAGCTTTCTGCTATCATTAAAATCTGGCTGTCTGCCTAGGAAAGCACACCCACATTTAGAACTGGCAGGCTTTCCGAATCCGTACGTGCAACTTAATAGAAAGTGCTGAAGAGCATCTTAAAACGAGCATCTTTAAAAGGCGAGCGTTTGGCTAGTCGGTGTCCCGGAAGGTAAGTGAAGGGGCTCGGTTGACCCAGTGATCCAAATAGATGCAGGAGACTCCCAAAGTAGGGCAGTGGCGGCAGGGTACGGATCTGCTGCGTAGGCGAGACTGCTGAGGCATTGGCCACAGACGCTGTGATTCGGAGGCAGTGAATTACCGAGTCTTTTAAAAAAAAAAAAAGAAAAAGAAAAAAACAAAAATAGTGAAGAGAAATTGCTACTTGTGCCAGGAAACGTGGATTTTCTTCTTTTTCTTTTTTGTCTTTTCGTTTTCAGATTGGCAGAGGGGAGTTAAGAGCTTTTTCTCTCTGGTTTTGTGACGGTGTTGGCGTCTGTTGCGTGTCTTGTGTGTGTGTGTGTGTGTATGTTAGGCTGAGGGGAGGGTCGGGGGCGCCCCTCTGGTTTTTTTTGGTTTTATTTTTTTCAAGGATCATGGCAGGATCACACACTCTTTTATACAAGTTAGATCCAGGTCTTTGAATAACTTTTTTTGTAAATAAGAATTAAAAAAAACATACAAAAAAAAAAAAAACAACAACAGAAAAGGAAAAAAAAAATCCAACACAAAGCTCCTCACCAAATTCAAGCTTGTACATTATTATTTTTGGTTGTTTTTGAATTTTGAGTTTTATTGTTTTGTATGTAAATATGTGGACCCAGGAACTGTTATTAATGAGCAAAAAGTTACCGTTCAGGGCAGTGATTCTGTTTAATAATCAGACAAAATGTAGACGAGCTTTTTAAAGCCATATAGTTTTAACTCTGTACAGTAGGTACCGGCCTGTATTATTGTAACAATAACTCTAGCGATGTATAGTGTATCTATATAGTTTGGAGTGCCTTCGCTTCCATGATTTTTTTTGAATTTTATTTCCCTTTTTTTTTCTTTTTTCTTTTTTCTCCTCTTTCTTCCTTCCTTTATTAACAATGTCTCCCACCCCAAACCCGCATCTTTGCTCCCCTCCTGCCCTGCTTTCTAACTCTTTGAGTGCTGTAAGGTTTTGGTGATACCCCTGATCAGTAGCAGAACGAAAGGAAAATCCGTCTCCACCATTGTTGGTTTCATCGGAGCTGTGGCGCTGTTCTGGACGTCTCCAAGTTGCCTGCCCTGCCCTCTCCTCCTCCTGCTAGCAGCCACCCGGTTTTGTTCAGACATTTGCCCTAGCAGCTCATTTAGAGATCTTTTTTCTTGTCTCTTCCCCCTCCTGCCCTTCCCCACCTCCCTCCCCCAACAAAAAACTATCCTGCACCCCTAAGTTGTCTGGGCAGCAGCAGCTTCCATGAGGTTCAGCCCTTCCACCTTTCCCATGGCCTGGCCCGGCGAGGGAGGGAAAGGACCCGCTGGGGGGTAAAACCTGAGCCCCACAAGGTGTGCTGCACTCAGGGCTGTTTGGCCGTGGTGGGAGCGGGTCAATCGCTGTGAGAGACCGTGGTGTTTTTTTTTTAGGGTGGGGGGGTGGACTTTCTGTTCCCTTTCTTCTCCCTAATTTCCCCCCACCCTGCCCCACGCCCCTCCCCAAAGTCACTTTTGTTTTCTTGAGAATGGTAAGTTTAACATGACTCTTTGATTTCTTGTGCCCAGCACGAAGGCCTTGTTTCTAAAACTAGTTTGCTTGTGTTTTACTACCTTGTTAGTATTCCACATAAGATTGTCTTGAATGGGAAAACACTTAACTCTTTACCAAACCAAAGGTTGCTGTTTTATTTCGAAGCATCTCGTGTTCATTCCAGTGAAGCAGAGGCTGCGCTTTCTTTCTGGTGACACGAAGGTCAGTGATGCCAAGCTGTCCCTCAGAGCTGTCCCTCTCTTTTACTCTCTTTCGGGCTTGTTTTTTTGACCCGGTCTGGTCTTGATCTAAACTGCCTTGACACGGGTCTCCGAGCCAGACTCGATCACAGTCCGTCTCCCCTGACGGATGCCTGATCAACATGCTGGTGTTCTTTGATGTTAAACTTATCTACTTTGCTAGGGGAAAAAAACCAAAACAGAAAAAATAACGCAAAAGAAAATTGGCTGGGAGAAGATCTCCAAACACTTTGTCCCCTCATTTTGAAGCCAAGCTTTACCTAAAAATAATGGCAAGTGCCCGCAACTTGCAACTTAAAGTTTCCCCCCTGGTGTTCGGTGCTTGGGAAAATCGAAGTTAAGCAGCCTGTCAGACCCGAGCTCCTGCAGTTGGAACTTTGGCCACCGCGCAGGAGAAGGAGAAGCGCGGAAAAAGGAAAAGCCGATGAGGAGAAGCAGAGGGTGAGGGTATTCGGTCTGGGCTCTGCCTTCTGGAGACTGCCAGTGGGTACCCCTGGGGCGACAGCTGATTTCCACGGGGCTCTCAGCCGGTTCTGGTCGTAGTTGGCTTCGTTTTGCAACACTGCAATAAACGGCAAAACGACAGGAAAGGAAAACAGTACCTAAGGGGTTAGCTTGAGAAAAGTAGCTTCCTTGTGTTGGTCTTTCTCAATTTATTTTTAATATATATATA